TGCTGTTTACTATGCCAGTGAATGGGTCAGCTTGAATCACCTTTTTTCCGTTATCATATATGTTGCGTGTGCATCTCTGCTACACAGGTGCACCAGCTGTTTTTTCACAGACGCTCTTTGCCAAGATGTTTTAGAAGCGCCGGAGAGAACTTACACATAGCTGGTGCAACCCAGTCCAGGGGCCTAGTCGAGGGTAAACCCAAGTAAATGTACTTATCCACCTCTTTGAAATTAAGCAAGATTTTACTCAGCTTGGTTCCACAGTTGCACCAGCTGTTCCCCGATGTGCTTTGCCAAGGTGTTTTGTAAAGCGGCTGTACCTGTAATAATGCATCTCTGTGTGATCACCCGCATAGATATTTCTATGGAACATCCCAGGAAAAAGCAAAGAGTTTACCTAACAGGTATTTCATAAAATACATACACCAATCTGAATAACCAATGGTAGATAATCGTTCTTTGTTTAACCATTGCATTCCTGGCAATAACACTATACCTGGATTGCCATTGCATTGCCTCTTATTAGATAACTGTAGAGATGTGTATGTGTATGTGTATGTGGAGAGCAGTTGAAAAAATGACATTGTGTGAGAAAGCAATAACATACTGGTTCCTTTCTTCCCTGTTTATTTGTGACCTGCTATCTTGATCTGTGGCATCTTGCACTGTTTAAGGATAACCTTCATATTAAGTGTTCTCTGTCTATGAACCGAGCAGGAGGAACAGGCCTCGGCATGACTGTACTGGTTCCAGTATCGCTCCTGCTGTTGATGTAGTGCCTCCTGCAAGCGGCTGTTTCTCTTCACAGATGAAAACCAAGATAAACCAAATGTGCAAGTAGGAAAGGCAATCATGAAAGCAGATGATCAGCACATTTTCTGTACAAGATGTGCAGACCTTTGAAGCCCCCTGAGGCTGTGTGCTAAATATGAAGCTACAGCCAGCAGTCAGTTAGCCGAGCAACAACTAGAAGTGGCAAGCCTGGCTCTGTCCAAATTAATAAATCCCACCAACAAAATCTCTAAATCTCATTGATAGACTTGTTGTATCTTGCTTGTATAATCCATACAAAAAACAACAAAGTGTGAAAAATACAATTCCCTGTTTTACGGAGGTGTGTCCATGCCAAGAAACAGTCCAGCATATAATCAACATTCAAACAGTGAATTGTTTTTTTTTTTAACCCTTCAGTTTTTCTCCAGATTAAACAGATTAATAATGAGTGAGTTTAAGAGGAACGTATGGAGCATTTCTTTTATGCCAAGCTACGTTTCCCTACTGCTAGCTGTAGCTTAAACAGACAGAAATGCGAGTGGTATATCAATCTTCTCAGCAAACTCTCGCGAACAAAGTGAATAGGAGTAATTCCCAAAATGTGAAATTATTCTTTTAAGTTTTGAAGACATGGTGTTTTTTTGACCATAGATTTGATATCTGTTACACACATAAACACTTGCATCTCTCTTGGTCAAGTGTTGTGTTGGTCAAGTGTTGTGCCCCCCCCTATACCTATATACAGCCAGTCACACGCTTCAATCTACTGTCTGTTTACGTCACGTTTCAGCGCTGGTGCTGGTGCCATACAGCATGTAATAGGACTGACATGTTATTTATTACTCACTCAGTCCTTGAAGTACATAAAGTGTTGGATATTATTTTATAGCACAGGGACCACTTCACCCACTTAAGAAGGAAAATAGCCCACGTGCCATTTAAGTGAGGAAGCTTTCAGTCACATTGTTTTTCTTATGAGTCACTGCTATAAATCTGATCTCTATATGGCAACTTGACACAATTCTCCAGCCTGATTGTGTACTCAGACATTTATTAAATAAAGGGTGGTAATAACCCCAGGTTCACTGCCTGACAATTGATCATATGTTTGATAACTGTTACTTTGTACACAATGAAAAGGACCTTGGCATGGATCCTGCAAACCTAATAATAGGAATATAAAATTCTTGGAATGTAAAGAGAGAGGGAGAAATGTCGGGCGGGGGGTTAATAGGGGCCCAGCTCCTTTTTGCACCGGGGCCCCTAGAAGGTGAACCAACCAATGAAGACAAAAATGACTACTGAAATACTCAGATCAAGGTTTACATTCATGCATAGGGCCTAATTTTGTAATTCTAACTTTTCTGCTAAGTCTCTATTTCATCTACACTTAATTGCAGCCAGTAGGGCATTTTAAAAACATAAAAAAGATGACAAATACAGCCTGCTAATGACCTCAGTCCATAATTATTCCACTGCAGGATTCATCCCAGAGAGATTCTTGCAGGGTAACTAATGGCTTTATTAATGGTAAATAAATAATTTACTAATGCTGTATAGATCAGTATTTGAATGTCTGTCACATCCATGTTTTCACATCAACTTATTAACATGTATAACTGCAGACTTGAAGGAGTTAAACCCCTATATAAATGACTTGCTAACATATATACTGTAACTGCAGGCTTGATGGTTTATTAGAAAATGTAAAACCTTATAACTACTTTATTTCCAAATACAAAGGATAAACATGTGCCAATTATATTAACCTGGCAACCCAAAAGTGAATTTGTTTAGTGAAACAGTTTAGAACTGATCTATGAAGCATTAATAAATAATTTATTAATTGATTGATTATTGAGAACAGCTTAGAAACCTGAATTATGAGAAAGTGGTACTAAGATACAGGTTTATGATAGCAGCCATTTCTCTGCAGCAGCAGAATGAATATAAAAGAACTGTGATTGGGATAAACTTAAATGTGCTTTCTCAACCTCCTTGGGGTGCTAGATTTCTGAGACACCTTTCCATGATTAGCTCTGGTGATTGCTCCATGTGTCCCGCCCATGCGTGCTGTCAAAGGTGCACAGGCATGTTTCAGCAAAACCTCTTGGCCCTAAGAGGGAGCACTTTTAACACATTTTCTGCAAATCAACACGTGACAAACACCACAGCCCTCACTCTGCCTTTGAGATAGAATAAATTGTTAGGCTGACGGACTGAAAGGAGGAAACCTGGCCTGAAGAACCTACATGACATTACCTTTCAACACTGTTTACCTTCCCCATGCACCCTAAGGATGTGTGAGCATAAGTTGTGTCAGCAAGTCAGCAGAGTACCAACTGCCCCTTCTTTGATCCACAGGAGAGTTGAGGTTCAAATCACGCGATAAAGTGGCAAAAGCACTGTAAGAACAATACATGAATGAGTCATCACATAAATCATTTGTCGAGAATCAAAGAGAGCAGATGGATGACGAGAGATACTGCACACATTAACGTTAAAATTATCTTGTCAGCCAAAACCCTCATTTTCACAGAGGATCCTGTGTTACAGTTACAGTCATGCTGATTTTAAGGTAATTAACTCTGCAACCTGCACTCTTGGAATTTATAGAAACTCTTTCATACATCGGAAGTATGCAATATCTCATGTTTCATCTGCACTATTAACATTTCCTCTTTTTCATTTTCTTTTCCTGAGTATTACATCAACAGGTACTACTCCAAACGGAGTGTCACCTATACTCTCAGCACTTGTTTTGTTTTCACAATTTTGAATTCTGCATGAGGAAAGTCAACTTCTCTGTTCCCATCCCACGAGCTGGCCCGGCACGTTTTCTCCCCTGTGATATGATCTCAGGTGTTTCCAGGTGTGGGATTTTTGACAGATGAGTTTCAGTCCCTCCCACAATGTCAGTTTCCCCGCAGGGGGAAAACCCCTGAAGCTCAGAGGCCTTCATTCACCAAGAGCAAGCACAAGCACTGGGCCAAAGTCCTCACCCAGCAGTATAGTGTAAGACGGGTCAGTGCACTCTGTTGTTACTAAGAAAATTAGAAATTAAACTACCTTGCATATTTCCGCTTGAATAAAGTGACCAATTCAAGGAACATTTCCTTAAGTTTAGAGCTGCACGAGAATATTGGCATATATATCCAAATGGCAAAGAGATATAACTGTAGCTAAATGCAAAAATATATATATTTATTTGTCTTGAGTAACTTATCTTTATTATGTCTACTGATTTACCATATTATCTTCCCTCTCCATTAAACATTCCTGCTTTATCCTTCTCCTCCAGGTACTATGTACTGCTGTATCTCTGTATTAACCTCCTCCCTCCCTACCCCATGTACCCCATGACCCCATTGCTGCAGCGGCCCAAGATTTGAATCCAACCTGTGGCCCTTTGCTGCATGTCATCCCCTCTCTCTCTCTCTCCCCCCCTTTCCTGTCACTCTTCAACTGTCACTATCGATCATCATCATATGATACCAGTATCTTCACTCTAAAACTCAATACAGCCTCTGAAAGACAGTTATGTCGGCTGAGGACGTTGGTGTCCCTGCAGAGCTGAAGAGGTGTCATGTGCTGCACAGTATATTTCTTTTGGAAATGTGATGCATTGCCCTCTTGTTTCAGTTTGCTTTGGTTGGAGACATATATGAGTATGTATGATGTCTTATTGACCGAAAGTGGGAGAAGTGTTTCTGTTGGAAACCCATCTGTGATTTCTACTGATGAAATTAAATTCTTCTCTGGTGCAGTTTAAAGACTTCTGCATGTTCTCACTGGTCATGGTTGACCACCTTTCAAATTGTTATTATTTCTTACAGAATACCGTTTTCACTTTTATATTCTTTTTATGACAGCTTGACAGCTAAACCTTCTTCTTCCATTTAAATACTCATGTTGTTTTTGTGTACACTATTTCAGATGGTGCAGACAGATACTGACAGTCAGTGACCAACTTACAACTAAGCTTTTGTTCTTCAGGTTTAATGCCAATCATCCACTTGTAAAAAAGAAAACTAGCAGTGTGACACATTTTGTGGCGGCGGTACGACAGATTTTATAATGCTAAGGAAACGTCTCAGGAGTATGACAGGTGACGGACAGCACTTCATGGTAACTGTGTCTCAGTGCCTCCGACAGACAACAGCAGCATCTTTCTTCTGTTTTGTCAAATTTTTTGCAGCAAGAAAGAAACAGCTACTAACACAAAGTGCAATCAAATATAGGTTTATATTCAAAGCATCAATATCTACACACTCATTTAAAACACTTAAAACATCCAAAAAGGCCCATTAGTTAGAGCAGTAGAAATGTATATTACATCACAACAGCATAAAATAATACTTAACTGCATTCTGCAAATGCTACATCTTAAATGCACAGAAAAAATGATGACCGTAGAAGGTATTGTGGTTGTCATTGAAGGAAAAGTGTAAAAGTAACAGGAATAACTAATTACAATAAAGTTAATTCTGGTTTATTACAACTTAGGTCTTATTTTTTGTAGTTTTGGCCATTCTTTCTTATCTGTTATAATAACAATATACTGACTAAATTAACTGTTGAAATCCGGGAACATCACATCGCTACCAAGATGTCAGCTAGAATCAGAATCAGAATCAGAATCAGACATACTTTAAGGCAAGAAACAAGACTTAATCCTCTGTTATTTAGCATTTATAAGCAGTGTTTAAACTTTTATTACATGGTTTATAACACACTGTACTGTTGTAAGTAGAGATGAATATATTTGCTTATTTTTTGCTATATATTTGCTATATAAGTCGTCCTGTGGGCACCCATATGTTGCGGCTGCTGTGAAGATAATAAATCATAGCATAGGGTGTAATAATTAGGTACTAATTTAGGGAGGTAAAAACATCCAGTTAGTCCCACCCAGTTTCAGTGCCATCCACATCTGGTTTAAGCCCCACCCATTCGGAGTACACATACAATTACGAGTTGACTGAAAAAATACAGATAATGATGTATTTGCTCATCTATAGTAATAATATAAGATATGTCTTCACTGGAGAAGTTATAATCATTGAGATTGAGACTAGATTTACTAGATTTATTTACAGTCGCTAAACAAGAGGAGGTCTCAAGATTCCGAATTACGTGGTGCATATTACTATACAAATGTGTGATTGTTAAAATTGTCTCCAAGGATGGAAGTGATAAGATTCTATTGATACCAATGCCATTATTAATTCTGCTTATCGGTCCAATTCTCCTGATCAGTTTTATGTGTGAATACACAGGTTTTCAGAAGGTTTTCCACCTTTACTTGAAATGATAATTACAACAAACACTGTTGTCATCTGTCTTTGTGATGAGGAAGCCATGTTTTGGACCATTTCTTCCTCTCCACTATGACTCAGTTGCAGCAGTTTGTTTGACATCACTGTTTTGGGAATCGAGAACCGGTTCTCAACTGTAACAAGTTCTCAATTCCCATCTCTAATTGTCACACAGATAACCTTGGGGCCTTTGAGGCCCTTAAGTGCCTGGGATTTGAGAGGAGTTATCCATTTTCCCTGGTTATTTATCCAGCATCAACCTCAGCATTTATCCTGAAGAGTACAGCACTATCACAATGTACAGAAAGTAGGCCACAGCTAAAAATGAAGACTCAAGTTGTGATAAACCCAAATTATCCTTTAATGGTGGCCCCTGAGAAACAAACAGAGAAAGGAAGAACACTCTCAGACATCTGGAATAAAGAGCGAGCTGCTGTACGAGTCTTTGTCCCCCTCACCGCCATCATCCTTTTGATCCTCCAGAAGTTTATCCAGGAGGCTTGGTGATTCCGACTCTACCCCTGGATCTTCATCCAGAGACTGACCTTGGGGCTCAGGGTCCAGCTGGTGGTCTGAACTGTGCGGGAGGTCCAGTATCTGTGACTGAGGATCTATGCCCTGAGCCTCCAGCTGAGGGATCATGGTGGTCAAAGACATGGACAAGGGCATGTGGACCAGGGGTGGCCCGGGCAGGGCTGCGGAGCCGGGGGCAAACTGGACCCCCGGGTTGGGCATGGTAGATATGGTGGTGAGGGGCTGGGCCCAGGGGAGGTAGGTCAACCCTGAGTCTGGGAGCTCCATCTGAGGGAGGGAGGCTGGTGCTGGGGCCATAGGTATGGTCTGAAACAACAACAAATATCACAGAAATGTTACATTCATCAGGAAGGAACTAAAAGTAGCAAAGACTCAAACACATGCTCGAAACTACAACCGTGGCTGTGGTTTGTAGACAGTTTCTTTTTGGTGTCTTTGGACAAACATTCCATAATAACTCAGAGAGTAAAGATTTACCTTGTCAGAAAGCGTGAGGGTCTCACAACAAGATTAACATTAGTGCAGCGTAGCTTGCGAGGTTGGTACAAAAACAACCTGTCCGGAAGAATTGTCACTTTTATATGGGTTTATTTTAAATTAGAATGGAAATTAAATGTCTACAAATATAAGAACTATATCACATCGCATCATATCACATCACATTCCACTGAATTGTTTCATATTCAAATGCATCTTCCCTGAATTGTATCGTAGCCCATGTATCTAGATACGAATTGGATTGTCTTAGAAGTGAGATGCACACCCCTAGTAATAACCATAATAACCCTGTAATAACCAATCTTTCTCATGACTCAGGGTGGCAAAGAATCACCCTAACTTGGGAGTTAACTGTTTTTTCTTAGTTTTTTTTCAGTTAGCACACGTTGTCCAGATGTTCAGGTCTGTGCAGTTTTAAGTTGTCTGGAGGTGAATGAATGTAACACGGGATTGGATCATTTAAATGCCATATATAAAACTAGTGTCACTTAATGTAAATGGGATGAATAATCCCGTTAAGAGGAGTAAGGTCCTGGCTAAATTGAAAAAAGAAAAGGCTCAAGTACTATTTTTACAAGAAACTCACCTGCCTCAACAAGAACATGAAAAGCTAAAACGCTTTGGTTTTAGGAATACATTTTACAGTTCCTATAAACCTAGCCAGAAGAGAGGAGTGGCTATCCTTGTCACAAATGCAGTTCAATTTGAATGTCTTGAAGAAGTTAGGGACACTGAAGAGAGATTTGTATTAATTAAAGGGAAGCTAGAAAACAGAATGGTGTCACTGGTCAATGTATGTAATGTAAAGAGGGCAAGATTGGTAAAGCAGACCTATTATGAATCAGGCCCAAAAGCAACAAGACTTTTAGCTAGACGCCTGCGGAAACAGCAGGCCATTAACACAATTCATAAAATAAGGAACCCTCAAACCAACCAATTATCACATGAACCAGATGAAATAGAGATAATATTTGAAGAATATTACAAGAAACTCTATTCTAAACCATTATCAGCTGATGAAAAAACAATAAGAAGTTTTCTTGACTCACTTGACCTGCCATCTATTTGTGAGACACAGAATGACACTATTATGTCACAATTTACAGTTAAGGAGCTGGAAGCTGCAATTACTAGGTTAAAGGCTAGTAAATCACCAGGTAGCAATGGGTTTTCATCGGAATGGTACAAGGCCTTTCAGAAGGAGCTAACACCTTTGCTTCTGTCCTGTTTTAACTGGACTCTTAACGATGGCGGAGCCCCCCCATCGTGGAAGGAAGCAATTGTCACCGTTTTACCTAAAGAAGGCAAAGACAAAGAAGAATGCAAAAACTATAGGCCGATTTCACTTTTAAACGTAGACTACAAACTATTTACATCAATTATTTGCAAGAGATTTGAGGCCCTCATACCAGACTTGATTGATGAGGATCAAACTGGGTTTATTAAAGGGCACCAAACACACGATAATATTAGAAGAACCCTCTATATTTTAGACAGCGCTCAAAAAAGTGGCACAAGTACAATTCTGGTTAGTTTAGATGCCAAAAAGGCATTTGATAGTGTTAGTTGGTTATTCTTGTATGAGGTACTAAAGAGATTTGGCTTCAATGAAAATGCAATCCGATGTATTAAAACTATTTATCAAGAGCACACAGCTAAGTTCAGAGTAAACAGAAGCCTGTCCAATACGATTCAGTTGGAGAGGGGGACAAGACAAGGTTGTTGTCTGTCTCCTACTGTTTTCGCTTTGTATGTCGAGCCCTTAGAACAGGCAATAAGGCAGAGTGGGGAACTGCAGGGTGTCACTGTAGGGGAGACAGATCATATCGTTGACCTTTTTGCGGATGATGTCATTATTTTCCTTGAACAACCAGATATATGTTTCCCACACCTAATGTCTCCACTGGAAATGTATGAATACTATTCAGGGTATAAACTGAATATATCAAAAACACAAATTCTCTCGTTAAATTATTCTCCATCCCGACAAATAAGAGATGCATATAATTTGAAATGGAATTCTAAAACAATGAAGTATCTTGGTGCAACTCTGACTAAAACACTTACCAACATGTTTGAAAACAATTATAGTGAAATTGATAAAAACATTCAAAAAGATATTGAAAGGTGGTCTACCCTTCCACTAGACTTAAGTGCTAGAATACAGACGGTCAAAATGAATATTCTACCTAAATTGTTATATTTATTTCAAGCTCTTCCAATTAATATCCCCCAAAACAAATGTATAGCCTGGGACAAGATGATTTATGGATTCATTTGGAATAGTAAAAAACCAGACCCAGATATTGGTGGGGGATAAACATTTGATAGGTGCTTTGAGACATGCTATGAACCCAATAGTAGCATTTACACTAGAAATATGGAGCGTTGTAGTAAGTAAATACAAACTTAAGAAGGATATGTGCACTCTGAGGTGGTTCGCGTACGATTCAAAGTTTAAGCCAGGGACGTATGATCCAGTATTCAAAGAATGGGCACAAAAAGGTATGACAGCAATATGTACAGTTTAGGCAGGTGGAGAATTTCTAAGCTTCCAAGATCTAAAGACAAAGTACGGCCTTGAAAACAAAGATTTCTATCGATACATGCAGTTAAAAGATTATTTCACAAAAGAGATAAGGCCAGTTGAAACTATAAATAAGGTGATATATAGGTAATATGGAGGGAGTTCTGCTGGAAAAACCTAACTAGGTATTTTATAACACCAAAAATAAAATCTAGGCAACTCGCTATACAACAAAACTGCTGGAGACTGTGTGGGAGTGTGGAAGCAGACCATGCACACACATCTGGAACTGTACAAAAATGAGGACATACTGGCAAAATGTTAATTTAGTTGTAAAAAATTTCTTGGGATATGAAATCCCAAATACTTGTCCAGTGATGTACCTTGGGAATATTGAGAAGGTTGTAATGAAAGAAGATCTGTACTTGACTAAAGTATTACTCGCAGCCTGTAAGAAAGTGGTCACAAGAAACTGGCTCAATGTAAATATCCCAAAACAGAACCAGTGGTTGGAAATTGTCCAGGAAATCTTTGTTATGGAAAAATTGACATACCTTTTGAGAGTCAAAGAGAATGTATTTGAAAAGAACTGGGAAAAATGGAACATTTATATTTGACGTGACACCAACTGAACAAATGCCAAATGGAACAGTGGACTGAATAGTGGATCATCTCCAGACAGTTTGTTAGTGTTGTAACTATTGTTATTTTAATTTGTACCTTTTTTGCTGTATTGTTTTGTCTATATGCATGTGAAAACTAGTTACAAAAGTAAAAAAAAGGAAATCTTTCTCATAATCGGAAAGGCCAATCACAAGTTGATAAGATAGTTGATTGTTGAGTCTCATTGCAAGGTCACCAAATACACATTGGGTTGGTGGCACCAGACCATAATGTCGGAATTTGATGGACCTGGCAAACACAAGTTGACTTTTATTATGAAAGAAATTCAATGTGTTTGTCAGGGAGATTAGCATTGACCACTATTGTTCAACAACTGTCTACAAAGCAGCATTTTATGACAGTAGATCAGTTTGAAATGTTGCAGGGAGAAATGGAAGCGGAGGGAGGAGGATGGAAGTGAGATGAAGAGCTCCGGGGGACAGGTTGCATGCCGCAACCTCCCAGTGAGTTAACCAACTCCTGTCCCTGTGGCCATGGCAGGTCCTGACCTCTCTACGGCCCTGAGCAAAATTCTGCTAAGTGGCCCACTGACCTGTGACCCACGTAACCCCAATGCTTCTGTGATTACCTTAGATCTCGCTAAACTGTGGCTGTAAAGTGTTTAATATCTGTGTCTTGCGAGTTATTGCTTGTGCAACCTGCATTAACATCAACAGACTCCTCGTCACCTGCATGCCGTTGGCACTAGGGACAATGCACATAGCTGTAAATGCATCAGAATAAGCCCAAATGCTATTATCATCTATAAACTAAAGTTATTTTTTGTCTTGACACTTTTTTATGAGACATTTCGCAGCTACAACTAGCTTTGGCTATACAATGTAAATATAAACCAAGCCTGATCTGGTAAAACTTTAAAAAGGCTGTAGTTCACCAGTTGTCTCCTACTCACCCCAAAGTTAGTGAGGAGTGGTGCGTGTGTGTAGGTCAGCATGGTGTAGCTGGGACACAGAGTCTGCATGTACACATCAGCAGTGAGGGTGGGGGTGGCTGAGTAGGCCAGAGTCTGAGCCGAACGGTCCTGCTGGTTGTAGTCAGACGAAGACCAGGGCGTTACGGCAGGCTGCAGGCCAGCGCTGGTGGCTGGGGGGGCAGCTTTCCATCCTGCACACTGCATCCCTCCGTCACCGACTGCCCCCGATGGCTCAGCTGGGGAGCCGCCAGAAACATCAGAGCCAAAGATGCCTGAATTTCAAAGAGAAGTTTGAGTGTGAGGCTTCAAAGACAGGCAGAGACACATGCTTTAATCACAGTAATCAGTTTGGTAAGCGTGTCTGGTAACTGATGCCACTGATAAGAATGAACACGTACCTTGTGTGTACGATGACTGGTTGTTGTGTGCGACTACATCCTAAAAGAAACAGACAACAACAATAACAATGATTAAAATGGTGAGTTGAGCATCTCGATAATTTGCTCTAGAACCAGCATCACATGTTGCTGCTGTCACAATGTAATGTTGATGTATAAATATGCCATATTTATACTTGTACCGATCAAGTCCAGGTGTAAGCAGCAGCTGAGTCAAGATTATGATTATTAATTGTGTGTGTGTGTGTGTGTGTGTGTGTGTGTGTGTGTGTGTGTGTGTGGGTGTGTGTGCATGTGTGTGTTAGAGATACAAGCCAGAGTTGTATTCACATGTAGGTATGGTCTTGAACAGTTTGTCTTGTGCTAAATCATCTTTTTTAACTGATTGGTGTATGACTAAACCTGAGAGAGAATGGTAAAAACATTAAATATCAAATAAATTAATCTGTAACTTTGCAAAAATTCAGGCCCAGATATGTTTACATAGAGATATTGGGGAGTGATGAGCAAATACCTTAACCCCTAGCCAGAGCAGGGCAACAGCGGTATTGACAGAGCAGAGGGAGAGCTGGGAAATTGTGAAGTTTAACTAGACCGCCAGATTGGTTAGTGATTATGGAGTGAGGGCATGTCGTGTGTGTGTATATATCAGCGCAGCTCGAGTTGACTGCCTGAACTAGCTCGCAGGCTTCGCTCCATTTACATACCTGTGACCCACAAGATTAGACGTTAGATCTTAACAAGGCAGAAAACAATGAATACATGCCTCCCAATAATCACAATTTTACGCAGTCTGATCAATTATGAGGCTGCAGCTTGGAGGTTAGCTGCAACTTCATAGTTGATCAGACTGCGTAAGTGGATATCATGTTCCCTGAAGGCACCATGGACACACTTGTCTTAGGGTGTTCAAAGAGAGAGGGTGGAGTCTGGCTGCACCCACAGCTGGAGGAAGACTGGTATCAATTCTCATAACATAACTTATATAAGTTATGTAAAGTTTATGTTTCTAGAGAAGCTTTAAATCTTTACCTCAGGCTGTGGCTGAACTAAGATTCAACTCTCAAAACAAAGGATACATTTTTTCACTCACAGCTGAAACCAATAAGAGGCTTCAGCAGTTGCTACCCGACAAAAGCTGACAATAACTGACGAGGACTGAGCGTCATTAATTATGATCATATATTGATTTATTTATCAGGGACAATGTACATAGCTGTAAATCAGAGTAAGTCAAAAACAATATTTTTCATCTCCAACTAAACGTTTTTGTCTTTTTCTTCTTGAATTCACTTTTCATTTCATTTTCCAACTTATACATTCTTTCACTTGTTCACTTGATGGACTTCATCCAGTTTGTTTGGCTTTATATTGTGGTTTGTTTAAAGTGAGTTTAGGTTTTAGAAAGGGACAGCACTGACAGCTAGTGTCAGCGTTCATACGCTGTTCTACACAAACATCAGTGAGTGACTGGGTGTGTGCAGCTGTTAGAGGCAACGAGGACCTGGTCAGTGTCACAGCTCTGACAGCAAGCAGACAATTATCTGTCATTACACCAACGACATTACTTTACTCGTGCTGACTTGAAAATCCGTCAAGAGACATGAACAGGTTTGCAGAGTTAAAGGTACAACAGGGAGTCTTTGAAACCATAGATCCTCAGGAATGGCCCTTTTGGTGTTTCAACAATCCAGGCTGAGGACTAAAGAAGACTACACTTTTTCCATAAGGGTTCCTGTACTTTGGAACGGTCTTTAGGCTAGCTAATTGTATTTGATCTTTTAATCAATCTTAAAAAACTCACTTTTATAATAAGGCTTTTATGTGAATTTACACAATATTTCTTGTGTATCCTTGTGATTCATTTTATTTTTTTATAATTTCATATTATTATTTTAATCATTTATTTTATTTATTTTTCTGTTTTTGTTTGTATTCTGTACACCTCATATATTGCTTTTAATCTTATTTTTATTGCTGCTATTTGTTTGTGTATGTAAAGCACTTTGTAAACATTGTTTTTTAAGGAGTGCTATAAAATTAAGTGAATATACAATTTACTGACAAAACTGTAACCAGTACTGTGTTGTAAATTTACTGAACTGCAATTTTATTTCAAGTAATACACTGTAATTCTAAAATACAGTACTTTGCTGTTAAAGATGCTGCCAGTTAATTACAGTAAAAGTCTTAGAAACAAACAAGACTGACAATATTGGACTGTGCTGATGTTGTAATTCAGCAGCACTGGCTGTAGTTTATTTTTAAATGTATACATTTCCCAGAGTTTCCCTTACTATACTTACTAAACTATACTAAATAACTACACTAACAGTTTATGCTACCTTTTTCCTCAAGTTATTAATTGAGACATTCTACACAGCTCTTTCTGTTCCTGCAGTCTCTAAGTCAATAGCTAAGAAAGCCTTCATATTTAAAGCTCCTTTGGACTGGAATAATCTACCTGTAAATATACTGTCTATATTACCATCTGTTTAAAAAGGCCCTGTCTTTTTATTACAGAATCAATTGTATCTGTGACAGTTGCACATGTCAATACACCTCTATAACTTTGTAATCATGGTTTGAAATTCTATTACTTAATGCTTTCACTGACAATAATACCAATTTTTTGTGTAATATATATATATATATATATTCTTAATATAATACATGTCTATTACATCTGGTGTATGTAACGAAAGTAATTTCCCCTTGAGATTATTAATGATTCTGATTGTGATATGGTCCTTTTTGTCATTGAGCACCCCCTTGAAAACGAGATGGCACATCTCAGGATGTTATTCCTAATAAAGAATTTGCAGAAAAAGACCACCAACCACACATTTGACTATTTCTATAGTTATTCTTAATGCCTGCCACCGGGTCTGATTCATTTGGACTGCCCTTCATATCAATGAAACAAGATGGTAGAAACACTACCGCTTTTGTCCACAGGGGCCGCCAAATCAACACAAAATGAATGTTCCTTGTCAGGGCTTTAAAGAACTCAGAAACAAAAATCCTTGCAGCTGCACACATGTTCAGAAGCTGTTCCTTGAAAATAATCCCATTTGTTTTAGTCCTGACAATGAGTCATATTATCTGCTGGATGCTAATGTTGAGTTCAGTTTAAATAACATCAATACACATAACAAAAATTGTTGTAAGTGCTGACTGGGTGTGTTTAACTGTAAACAGAGTCAAAGAGTCGCTCCAAAACAATAACAGTGAATTGAATTTTGTTTGTGGGGTGTACAGTAATTTTAATGAATTTAAATTACATTTAAAACTATATCTTTTTCCAAAAATAGTGTCTCCATTACTCTGGAAAAACACACACACTCACTGTTAACAGTTTTCAAAGGGACAGTTTCTTCAGAATTAAGTCGCTCCAGGAACTGTGGACTATCCAGAGACTTGGGCCAAGAAAAACAAAACTATCTGGATGGTAGTATATTACTAGAGGTTTATGGGAATTAGTTCGTTAATAATTTGGCCAAACTGATGGTTTAACTTTACCTTACAGTAATAGCTTAAGCTTTTACTGTAAGGTTTAAAGAAATAGGTCAGCATTTTTGGAAAATGGAGCTGTGACCTTCAGGAATTTTGCGGGGCAACCAGCAGAAATTCCCATAAGTCACTGTGATCCAGCAAGAAATTGTTCCAACACGTAACCAACCATCACATATTGTTTTTATACTTCGGTTTTTGATATCCAATGTCAAAAGCAATCCTCATGTTTCACAGAAATACTCCCACAGTGAAAGATGAGTATTCTCAATTACATTTCATAACGTTTTGAAAGAAAACCCACTTCGTATCAAGTTATGCTTCATGTCATTTGTCTTGCTTATCATATGCCGTGTTTAAGGGGAGTTTGTTTGTGTGTGTGTGTGTGTGTGTGTGTGTGTGTGTGTGTGTGTGTGTGTGTGTGTGTGTGTGTGCGTGCACATGCTGTGTCTGTCTCCTCCTGGCCTGGTGTAATAAATAGCAAGTGGGAGGGATCTTTGGCAAGGCTGCAAGTTATTTTGCATAGGGCTGTGTGCCCAGCCCTGGAGCCATGCAGGGAATGGCTGTAACTGCCATGGAAAAACACCTGGATTATATAAGGACAAAATCCCCTCTTTGCTCTGGGGGAGGCCCTGGGTCCTGACTGCTCACATCCTGATGGCCCCACTGGGGCCCATGTCTTTCAGCTCTTGAAAGTGCCATCGATAATTTGCTGATTAAGGTTTAAGCTGGAAAGGTGACTCCCCACAGAACAATCTCGATCAGCCGTGTTGCAGTTTCTGCACGCCACTTTTACAAGCAACATTATGGGATGCATGTGGAAGTTCAGCCATGTGCATGTCTTTTGATCTCTGCAGCGTCCTCCCTGCTGCAGAAAATATAAAGATCATTGACTCCATACATCAACATGACATTTCTGATGTGTAAAGATTGTCAGCCTTGAAACGAATGGTGATACATCATCAAAACGCAATGTAATGTTATACAGACATCATTCATCTGAACATCAAAAAAAACATGGCATTTGTCATGGAAACTATCCTACAACAGCAACTAACAGTTCCTGAACTTTATTTGGTTAGCTGTCACTGTCAAGAAATGTTGGTGGTTTTGCTTTTTCAAATGTATTTAATAGCTCCTCCACTCTGCTTTATTATTTAACAGACTAATTTTTAGTATATATATAGAATCTCGCAAGGCACAGCTTGTAAATATTTGATAAGTCCAACAGTTTGTAATCCTGAGCAGTCATTGCTGCATTCTGTAACTTCTGCAGTACAGTAAATCCTGTGCCTTTTATTTGTTGAGTGACTAATGCTACTGAGATAAAGCTGCAGGGAAAAATGTGGCTTCAGTGTTTGCACTTTGGAAAGTGATTTTCTCTGGATGGAGGCCCAACGTACAGTACAGTTCCCCAAACCCCTGAGAAAGTCTGATTTGTATAAAAAGTGTCAGGACAGTGTTTTGAAAGTCACGGCATCATTATTTTAATATAGTTAAGAAGCATAACCTGTTGAACTTGGAAAACTGTCTTTGTCAAAAGTCGTTTTGTTATACAATATCTTCAATTTAGCACCACAACCTCTTAAATCCAGGATTTTCAAACAGCCGGCCAGGGTCTATTTTCGGCCCTCCATCTCCCTCCCTCTGGCCTGCGAGATGATGTCAAAAATATGATAAAATCCTACATGGAGGATTTTCTTTTTTTAAATTATTATTCATTTAAACTATCCCTTTCTATAAAAACAACTATGTATTCTGTTTGGTGCAAAAATAATGGCAAAAGTCAAAGGGGCCCTCAAATGCATGCAAAAGGTTGATGAGGAAAGAGCAGGTTTTGGGCCTTCATGGTATATAAATGTATAGAAACTGCTGTTTGCAAGTATGATGTTAGTAAGATTTCTTTAGATTATATTATATATTTTTTAGAATATTGCACTTTGTTGTACTACTTGAACACTGAATTGGCCCTGAGTTTGAGACCTGGCTCAGGGTTAACGAGAGCTTCCTCCAGAGGGGACTGTCACCTCTGAGTATCAGAGAGTGTAGTACTCTACAACATTATAAATGCATGGTGAAAACATGGTTGAAGGACAGTCAGGTCTGTAGTCTGTAGCATTGGTACTGTGCGTCCGGTTGGTAATGTCTTGCACTCATGAACGGTTTATCTCTGTGGTGGGATTGCTGATGTTGTGTATTGTTTTCCGGTTTGTTTTGTTATGATTGTTATTCTTTGTTTTGTTTTTCATATGGTGTTTTATCGTGCATCTGTTTTTTTACAGTGTAAGGTTCTGCTTTAAACCCGTTCTTTTATCCCTGTAAGCACTAGCTCATTAAATAAATACATAAATTGTCAGGTGTCATGGTGACCTCACCGCAGTAGGGGGCGCCATCTTGGTGCTGGGTGGCTCCAGGCTCCTCTTCCTCCTCAGCAGCTCCTTCACTGGGTCTCTGACTCGCACACCTTGGTACGGTCTGGACCTGGCCAGTCCTGACTGCGGCGCTAAAATGGCCAGAAACAGAGAAGGAGAGGGAAATGGATGGATACACACGACTACATTTCCCTTCAGCTGTCTTGAGGCGATCTCTGTGATGGACACCATGGTGACTATAATAATAAAGTGTCTGTAATAAAGTATTTCACATCAACACAGTCAGTAGTATTATTTTACATCATCATCATCCAGTAAAATGTAAACATGTTTCTTCTAGGTTCTTCTCTTCTAGTTCTAGTTTCTAGTTTGTTTTTCTCTTGTTAAATACAGGATTAAATATAATCACAATAAAGTATTTTAGGGGTGAGGAAATCAAAAACCCATAACATGTAGATACTGCTTAAAAGCATGAGCTAAAATAATTTCAAAATATTAATATTCATTCTTGGAAATAGCAGTTGATAAAGTCCATTAGCAGCTGTTCTTGGGCTTCTGATCCCACGTTGGCCCAAAAGTTGAGCTTGAGTTAAAGTTTTTAGTAGAGGAAAAATGCCTACAATAGACCTTTTTCACAGCAGCCATTTTGACATATCGTAAATTCTTACTTAACATTATTCATTCTTTCATAAGGATCAATTTGTTGCTCGATTTTTCTTCAGTTTTAGCCCTCCAAGGAAAAAAGTTTAAACTCAGCTGGATTAGTTGGTTGCAACTGAATGTCCATAGTGGTGCCAGAAGCTGTGCAGTTGCTGTTGATCTGTGAACCAGTGCTAGAGGTAACAGTTTATTGTCTTTTCCAGTTTATAAAACCACCATAAAGATTTTCTGTTATTGTGCACCTGATAAACAAGGGGTTTCAGTGTCCTCTGGGACCACACTGACAGCTGACAGTGGGACTGCAGGCTAAATGGTCATATGTTTACAACCAATGACTTACTGCAAGTATAAGCATGAGGAGAAATCAGATCTGAAAGCCAGGGCCTCTTTTGAATAAACTCAGAGCAATTGTACACGTGAAACTGCAGACAATGCCATCAAGCAGTGCGGCCCTAGGGTACATAGTTATTGACAGTAATGGCAGTTTTTGCTCACAGCAGTGCAGCAGACCTCTGCAAATGGATGGTTCATGTACACACACCTCAATAGCTCTTAATCCCAAATAGACAAAAAGGCTACATGTCAATCAGTTTTACTGTTGTGATACCATGCTGTCTCTAACCATCCATTAGTCACTATGTTTTTTTAATGTGGGCTGTGCTCTATACCTCCGATAGAGCAATTCCCAATCTTCCTCTCCCTGCCTCACTTAGCAAAACCTTGTATTCATCTGAGACAGGCTGAACGGGTGAGTGACATTAAGACAAGTGATCTGCACCAGCCCTTCCATCTTCCTCCACTTAAGCTGTTTTATGAGGAGACAGGGAGACACGCAACCATGCAACTAATCTCTGGTCTCCATTAACAGTTGAGCAAACCTCACTCAGAACCTTGGTCAACTTCCTCCTTTCCTTACTTAAATATGCTATGTGCTAGACTAATCTATGTTGAAAACACAACCACATTTTGTTAGCTAATGTTAGAAAAATGGAGGGTCACCTGCCAATCCAAGTAAGCCCCAACCCCCTTAGGCTTTTCTATGTTGAAAAGCAAAATATATATTGTACATTTTAAGAGAGCAAATGTTAATGCTAATAGTTAGCCAGACAATCTACATAAACCTTTTGCTAGCTAGTTAACTAGCATTTTGCGAAGGGTACGCTTTAGGGCATGCTTAGTCATTCTTAGTGAGTCTGTCCAGCTCAGCACACAGAAACTGAGTACATCACTGCCGCTAGCTCCGAAAAAATGTCATGGCAACAACCATAATGCCAAACTTCAGGCTTCAAAACAGTTCTTGACAAACCAATGGGTAACGTCATGATTGGTTTACAATTGCAACAGACTATTCATGCCGCTAGCATGGCTATAAATGCATAGTGTGGATAGAATGCATTCTGTGTCCCGTAGTGTGGTTATGTTTTTAGGGTTTTTTCCAGGCTTTTTTATGTGGGTTCTGATTGTAATTGCAAAGACATAAGCAGGTTGCTTCAGTTTCCTGGTAGATGTCACATCAATCAATATAAAGTGAAAACGGATCAAACGTTCAGCAGTTTGACAATGCTCTGCTAACAAGCCATCTGCAGGTATGAGCCTGTCTGGCACTTTAGCTTCTCTGAGGCCGAGTTGCAAAGCTACAGCAGATTTTTGTGAAATGCTTGTCTTGTTAGTCCAAAGTCAGACTGCCATGGAGAGTGTCCCATGCTGCCTAATTTAAATGTGGTTGGTGTGATCACTGCCAATGGAAACTCACGCAATCAATCCATCGATTCCCTGAGATGTCTCTTTTGGTGGATTTGGAAACGTCCTGTGGCAACAACATCAAGTGTGATTCCGTAATCATCACACAAGCTTCATTTGATGAAGACTGTGCGTTGTTTTCTGTTGGGGAGGGATTGGCGGGCATTTAGTTAAGCCAGTGGTAAGCCTGTATTGGTGTACAGTTAAGCCGAAACAAATGAAAGGGAAAATTCACCACAAGAAATAGTGCCACACGCACTAACATAAACCAATTTCAAGAAAATTCGAAGGAAATCTAGTCCAGTCTACCAATAATCACATTCACCCTGCACCCACAGTCAGTCAGCACAGTCAGTTTACTGGTACTAGAATCATGTTATAGCTTTTGTGGAGCTACAGTTTTATGAGAAGCCATTGAGTAAAACACTCATGCACAGTTTTTGTGTTATGGTTTAAAATATTAATACAGTATTGTCAGATAAAATACATTATAAATTTACCAGAACAATTCTGTTTAGTTTGGGTATAGTGCAGCAGATAGGGATCTAGTCCGAATCCCTATCTGCTGCTGATTAATTGGTTAGACAGGTTCAGTGGCCCAAACAAACAACAACAAATTGCCATACAGTTAAAGTCCATGACCCTTAACTGAATCTGCAAACACAATTGTCCCTTAGGCTCCTTTTTGCTCAGTGTTGAAAAGACAACCGCATTTTGAAGATGGTTAAAAGATAAAAATGACATTATATATAGTCACAACTTAACATTGCTAATGCTAGCAAAATGTTATTGGAGCACAGAACAAAAAGGGGCGGGACTTAGGGGGGTCAACTGACAGTCCAACTAAGTCCCAGCCCCCTCCGGCTACTGTTGCTGTGCTTTCTGTTCTGACATGCATTTGGCAATAATGTACACAGTCAATCAATTATACAGCATATTACACAAAAACTGGTGTGTTATCCGCATATAACATTATATCTAGCAGCAAGTTTGGCTGGATTTTCAAATTCAAGAACTGACAGGGCTGCTAATGTTAGCCAGACCCTAATATAGTAGCCTAGCATCCAGGACCAGTGAGGAAATACTACAGAGTGGATGCTCTATTATGGGCCTGTAACCCTATAAATGTAAGCTAATGCTCTGTAGGTTGTTAGCCAGTTAGCATTAATAATTCATTTACATTCTTATGTTTGCAGCTTAAGTTATAACTGACAAACACTAGCCCACGGTTTATGGTTATGGAAAGGCTAAAGGCTAGCTCCAGTTGCTAAGTTATGATTGCACAATTGGTTCCATCTACTCCCAGAAGTCGAACTCTGTCTGTTAAATAAGCTGTTTGTAAGAAAGAAATACTTCTTCTTGGAATTGGACAGTAAGATTTCCTCATCGTGGTTCAGATCAAATGACTGCAGTACAGAAGGGTTCGTGAGCCATCTTGGACATGGCCATTGTAATATGAGAGCAGCTCTGGTGTTGCAGGACGTTGGGAAGTACGTTTGTCACACAGCCAAAAGCAACAAAAGATGTGTTGAGATTCCTGGCAAAGGACTGAAGGAGTGTGGTGCAACCAGGGGTGTGCCTATCACGGAAGCATTCATGGTGGTAGAGTTATATAGCTATCATTTAGATGGAAGAGTTCTGTTCTATTTTGAGCAACTCTGTATGTTGTTCATCCTGGCTACACATATGAATGGCTTTCCCTTGTCACAAAGAAAGTGTTTGACAAATATTGCTGATACTAGAACAATATCAATCCTCTGTCTATATTCTGTTTTATTGTGACGCCAACTGGTCGAGGCAGACGGCCGCCCACGTAGAGCCAGGGTCTGCCCGAGGTTTCTGCCTCTTTAAAGGTGTTTACTTACTGTGGTAACTGTTGGGTCTGTTTTATAAGGAGCATGATTTAGATTGGCTCGATTTGAAAAGTGTCCTGAGAAAACTTTTGCTATGAATTGGCACTATACAAAAAAAAACTGAATTGAATTGAAACTCAAAGGAACAGAAGATGTTGTTGTCTTTCCTCTCGTTCTGTTTTAAACAATCACACATGAACACACACAGACAAACAATCACCATGGCACACCCACAGGGGCTCAACCAACAAAAAAAGAGGAAGCCGCACAGCTGTACAGGCCTGCTCCCATTTTGCATATCAAGATTACAACCCAATAGCAACATGCAGCCAACTTCCAAATGACTGTCTTCCTCTTTTCAAAAGAGTGCCGACAGACAGCTTCAACCCTGATTCTGACGCAGGAAACATGGTCATATACTTTTCTTTCCTTATGTTCGAAGTTGTCCAGAAATTCCCAAACATGACTTTTGAGTCAGCCGTCCATTAGTTTTGTAATTATGAGAATAAGTTATGATTGTCCCACAATACAACAGCAGAAAATCAAACAAGTTAAGCTAAACCAAATTGTCTCTCCCAACAACAACCCCCGATCTACAATATTCAACCAAATTAATATTCTAAAATGGCATGAGCACCAACAGCAATTACGCTTTACAAAGGTCGTATGTACCGCAATGCTACTGCACTGGATTGCATTATATTGAATATGATACTATGTCCTCCTCTAAATCATAAGAAATGTAATATGCACAAAAGTGAACAATTCAGTATTTGTTTTAAATTTCAAAGACTGCTGCGGCTCTTGTGCCTCCGTCAATAAAATCCAAGCAGATTAAAACTAATTATTCAAATATATAGATTGTATATAAAATAATATCTGTATAAATGAGGACTTTACAGTTCTTGTGTATCATGTAAACAAATGAGCAATGATATTTTGTACTTACATTTCTCCCAGTGCATACTGCTTATCTGGACAATATCATATAGCTAAACCGAAGAAAATCAAAGTGGCGGGTTGACTGACGTGCTTTATAACAGCCTGAAGATGACTAACAATCCCTCTGGGATATCGCAGCTTCTCTTAACACAAATCTCACTCATGCATCTAGTTTCAGTGTTGATACTATTTAAGTTGAATCATGACTACGACGAGTGATAAAAACTTTTTAAAAAGAGTAACAAAAAGGCCCCAGCAATGCCAAAATTAAACAGAAATGAAGGTAACTGACCATTAAGGAGAAGGGCAATACATTCAAATAAACTACAGACAAATTAAAGGAGAGTCAATTAAAATATCAGACTTCCTTCTCAAACCAAATTACACACAATTTTAGCTCATTACAGAGAAATTAGACATCAGAATTTGTGACTAATGTCTAATATCTATTGAGAGCTTCCATAAATATTATTTATATAATATTATTCGCTTATTTGCTTCCTAGATGGGTTATTCTCATGTCTCTGGTAAGTACAGAGCTGGAGTCAAGACATCATTAGCCTAGCTTAGCATAACAAAATACTTACATCAACCAACTTTCATGAATAAATGTCAAAAATGAGTCTTGAAGTGAATAGACACTCACCATACAGAACATGAAACACAAATAACTAAGAGTGCACTTCAAAATCATTTGAAATTGTTCAGTGATGTCACTAATGTGTTGCTAATGTCAACATGAAGACTGATCAGATGACCTGCTACAAATGAAAAACAAAATTGCTAATATAAGCTGGGACTTGTTCAGGAAGCACCATTTTGAAATGAATCCTGAATTTTTAAATTCACCAGTGGAGATGAGCCAAAATGTGAGTGATATTATCTGTACAGTCTGATCGGTCTGGTTGCCATGTCTGGCTTTGGCATTTTAAACAAGAAGCTTTTGCCAACGCTCACCTGTTTAGGCATGTGAGTAATATAAGCAGTAGAACTTGATAAGAGGCTTTAATTAAGATATCTCAGCTTGAAAAACAGAGGTGAGTCAACATCTTGTTGAGGTTCATGTGCTTGTCAAAAGTATTTTCCGTAGCAAGGCTTAGGTCAAGTTATGGTTAGGCGTAGCAGACATAACCGGTTGGAGTTGAAATCAGTGGTTATGAGACCCCTAGGGGGTTCTCAGAATTACTGCTGCGGGGCCGCCAAACCATTGTTTAATATCAAAAAAATGTAAATACGTCTGAGAGTACACATCAACAACAATGTAACATGAGACCAGATATTAGCCTATTGGCAAAGATAAATCCCACATGTATGTCCAAAATTAAAACACAACTATATGAATATGTAGATAATTGACCCTTCCTAAGTCCCGTCTCTTTTCCCTCCTTTCACTTTCTTAGATATGCTATGTGCTAGACTCATCTATGTTGAAAAGACAACCACATTATAAAGATTGTTCAAATATAGAGCTAATGTTAGCTAGCTAACTAGTAATCTACAACAGTTGTTAGTTAGCTACTTCATTCTCTCTCTCTCCTCTCTCTCTCTCTCTCTCTCTCTCTCTCTCTCTCACCCCAACTGGTCGAGACAGACGACCACCCACCTAGAGCCGAAGGGTCTGTCCTAGGTTTCTGCCTTTTAACAGGCAGTGTTTCCTTACCCTTGTCGCCAAGGTCTTGCTCATGGTGGGACTGTTGGGTCTCTGTAATTAATGTTTTAAAGAGTTCGGTCTAGACCTGCTCTATTTGAAAAGTGTCCTGAGATAACTTCTGTTATGAATTGGCGCTATACAAATAAAATTGAATTGAATTGAATTGAATTATCTCCTTAGTTAGCATTTTGATGCAGAGCAGAACACTAGCTATCTGGCTAGCTAATCTCCATGAATCATTAGATAGCTGGTTACACGAGAAAGCTAACATTAGCTAAATGTTAGCTCATCACTCATTAGTTAGGTATAATGTTTTTACTAGCTTAAGATATGACTGTGTCACTTTTATCACATAGCATGTGCTAAATGTTGAAGACCCATGAATTCATTTTGTAAGGGTAGTGTTTAGTTCATTGCATTTAGATGAATCTACATATAGGCTACACATTATATATACTAATAACAATATGCCACCCTAACATTCTTTACTACACCACCCCAGGCCAGAAAAACTCACGTTACAATCATCTTTTCAACAATAAAGGCTTTGTTTATTTGTGCAGAAAAACATCATCACCTCTCTGTTATGTAGTGTTAATATGACTTTCCCCCTTCCCTCCCCCCCTGCAGCAGATGATATTTCCTTTTCCTCTGATAACAGTAAAACTGGTCAAAAAGCAGACTGATATGTTTCCCTCCAAACACGACCTGGTGGCATCCATCCATCCCAGAGCGCAGACAGGATGGCACAAGTTGCCAGGCTTTTGCCAAGGATCTCGTTTGTTTGTGGTAATTGTGTTAATGTCTCATAGATAACTGCGGTTCCATAAATTTATCAGGTTATCAGGATCAGGTTCCTCCGGGTCTCTCTAGCACTCCTAATGGCATTTTATTTGTTGATTACATATTTTTTTTTATTAATTATCAGAATCTGCAATGTAACTGGTAACTTAAGTGCCATAAAGTATAAAACTAAAGTAAAGCAGAAGTACTTAAGTACTAGAATTCATTTGGTATGGTATATGGAAGTCATACAGCTGACATTTATCACCTGTACCATCTTTAAATTTGTCTAACAGGATGTCAAAAACACATGTCCAACTAAATGTGCTTCTTATCAGGGTGGAAACTGAGCCTCTCAAAAACTTTTAGACCATCATTATCATGTTAGATTTATATTTTTAATATTTATTTATTTTATTTATTTGTTGTAGACAGTTTATGTTTATTTCTTTTTCATTCAAATTGGGACATGTAACTTGCGGTCAAACTGCAGTCAAACAAAACAGTTCAACGTGTCAACTGCGCAGCTCAGTTGCATTTTCCCAGACGCTCTGCAGGATGTTTACTCCCCATTTAATCATTTCAGTTTTATTATAAAATTATTGTCAGCGCACTTTTCATTCTAAAAAAAGAAACTGTTACCACCATCACTAAATCAGCATAGTGAACAGCTGTGAAAATCTGTAGACTAGATTTAATCTTGGGCTAATGTTGAGTCTGAAACTGAGTCCAGCCTGGTTGGTGCAGGAAGGAAACACCTGCATGTTCTTCAAGGTTCACTGACCAGCAACGCACGAAACCACAAGCATAAACTCACACACGTCTGCATGTTTCAGTGCCTAAATGAATGGTTTCTGCATTGTCTTAATAAACATATATACATTTATGTATCTTTTATTTTTTAGGAATTACGAAGATGGTAAATGACACCTGCTTTGTCAGTGACAAGCAGTTGGAACTAGCTGCCTTGTTGGTGGAATTATGCCCATTTTCCATATTTTAATTGCCATCCACAGATAATGATGATAAGAAAGCAAACAGCTGCCAGTACAGACAAAAGCAAAAGTCTATGTGAGCCCTAAATACATTTTAACCCCTTTACTGCTGATGAAAGGTGGGCTAAATGGGCCACCTCCCACAGCTACAACCTCAAAGCTGCCCGCCATGCTGTCCCGGGCATTATTCTAAGTTGCTAAGCAATGCAGAGCAGAGAAAAAGCCCACACTCACATCTTCGCACCAGGCTTCATGGCGGCTCCTTAAGGTCCATCACTGCCCTATGCTACCAGGCTTTTGTGTGCTGCGGGATTTTGAATGTGTGCAGTGAGTGATGCAAAGTGAGGCTTTGTGTATACGGCTGATGCAAAGAGGTTTTCAAAAGATGTTCATAACTCGGGCACATTGGTGTTCAGATAACTGTGGATTTGCTTCGGCGGTGTGTTAGTTGGAGGGCAGATAACTGGCCCTCAAAGAGCATGTGAAAGAGAGAGACAGGAATAAGAAAGAGAAAAAAGTGTCTGAAAGAGAAAGATGGAGCCAGCTGTGCATGGAGGCAACTGTTATTTCTCACTGTGAGATTCAGTCTATGGGCTGGGTTTCAGCGCTGATCACGGGGGGTTGTGGTACTAGCTTTACTAATCACCCAGTCAAAGCCAACAGATTGCTATCTGAGCCTCATGTCAACTGCAAGTGCCCACAAGACCCTGAGGATCCCTAACACAGTTAACCTGGCTTTAAAAGCGATAAGTGGGGTCACTCATCTGTGATTCATCTGCAACACGTGTGTATTTAACAACAGGCTGGCCCTTGTAGTTATGTCAAGATTTGCTTTAAGAAAGACCACAACAGAAATGTTGAAAGGCAGCTGAAAATACTTTAAAGAGTAGATTTGTCAGGTCAGATAGCACGAGGAGCTGCCTGAAGCCTTTTGCATAGGACACGCTACAGTACACACACATTCCTCTAGAGGTCCCCAAGTCTTCTAGAACAGTAGTAGTGACCTTGTTCATGCAGGTAGAAGTCCATCAAAGAGTCACAGATATATGCAGAGGCTGAAGCAGATGAATGAGGCAGGAGGAGACAAAGAGAGTTGATAATTTTGGAGAAAAGAACTCCTGGAAAGCACAGACAGATGATATCTGAATAAGTAAATATCCAAAGGTGGAATTTTACTTTAGGCACTATGCTTCATCTTTCATTGCCTGCCATCAGGTTACCTTTTGGCGCGGCCCCAAAACTTACAATCACTCCTTGTTTTCTTTTTAGACCCTAATTCCTGTGAGGGTGGAAGAGCTTACAAGGCCATGGAAAACTGAAGTGCTGCATTCAAACTAATGATAACACTGATCATAATGACAATATAGCTACAAGCCATGGTGTGTTTGTCTAAACTTAATGAAGGCAAATACCATTACACATTTATAGTCCAACACTGTATTAAACAAACAAATGTTACCTCACAGTTCATTTTTTTCCCCATATGCTGAATCTGCGCTATTATTTGTCCCCATTTGAATCGCTGTGGATTTTTATTTTTATTGTTTTGCAGCCACATCGTCTCATCAAATACTCATAGTCAACACAAATCAGTGTTTCTCAATATGGGTGCCTTAAGAACGAGCTAAGGGTGCTGCAAAAGGTGCATTATTTTATTGAACAATTGTTTTTGGACATAAAACGGTGGCAGA